AGCTCAAGACTTGCAGGCCCAAAATGTTGTGCAAGCCCAAATCGCGCTGAGATGAGGAAAGACCTAGCGCCCATGCACCCTGGTGACCCAGCCCGCGCCTGTGATCTTACCTATACCCATGATATGACCTACACCTGCAGTCCAGCCCATTCTTGTGGCCCACTTAACAACCCAAACCAGTCCAAGACCAGTTCAATCGTCTTGGCTTTAAATTTTTGGACAGACGATTGAACCAAGGGTATTTTCACCCTATTTTTCAACAAAGTTGATCCATCCTGGTTCTGATCTTACACCCGAAGTCCATCACACTTTCACCACTCAAAGAGACATATGCTGTTCAAGCTCTTCCACCCCAAATGGTGAAAAACACTTGTCCCGACAAATCATAAAGTTGGCAAACACCCTCGTACAGCTGACGACCTTGGTGAATCAACTTTTGCAGCGCACTGAGATGCAGCATACCCCAAACGAGATGTCCTGAAGCAAGATAAGGGTAGACGACAAACCTCTCCAGCAGCGTCCTGGCAAGCAAACCCTCAACCAGCCACAAATCGAGCATTCTGGCAGTGTATATTTTTGTTTGAACCCTTGTGATAGCATATACTCTCATTTTAGCGTGCGGAGGAGCTTGCACTTCTGATTAAAACCACAAACAAGCATACATTCATGGCTGGGGCCACACTCTGATAATCAACATAATCAACCTTCCAGACGAAGTGTTTATTTGTAGCTAGGCCTGTAAAGGGCATCCTTCACCTTACATTGGAGTAGGCAGCACGTCGAGCGAAGGGAAGTAATCACCCAATCTAGCTTAAGTTCAACCAGCAGTTTGCGAGCAACCTGCTCGCCTACCAGGAACATACCACATGCACCGCAACCATGACGTAAACGAACCAAGCGTAAGAAAGAGTAGCCTAGACTAACAAGTCACGACCAGGGGCAGCCAAAAGCTCCACTGCCCCAGCAGAGGCAAATTCAGGAAGAAGTTGAAAGGTTTCTGAATGAACGATTGCACGATTTCCAACGCGACGAAGCTACTGACGAGGCACTTCGACAAAGCATGACCAACATAAACAGGTCACCATTCATGGATAAGATTGAGCACACACAGATCCACCTCATAGGTTCACTATGCCTCACGCACTCTTGACAAAGGAGATGAAGATCCAGATCGACATCTCAAACACTACCACAGTACCATGATCTTATACAGGAACAATGATGCGCTTATGTGCTAGATTTTTGCCACAACTCTACAAGGTAAGGTGCAATATTGGTTCCACACCCTGCCGCTGTAGTCAATCTGGAGTTTCAACGAACTTTCCTTAGTTTTCACTAAGGAATATTCGTCTAACTGCTTAATTAAAAGGATGTCTGACTATCTCTTCAGTATCATTAAAGACCCTAGGGAGACAATTTGCAACTATGTCAAGAGGTTCAAAGTGGAAAAGGCTAGGATGGTGGTTGCAACGAAGGTATAGCAACAGTAGCATTCAGAAATGGTCTTCCCACCGGGCACTCTTTATTCAAAAAATTGCGCATTCCATGAAGGGCGATCTTACCCAGCTAGATCAGACAAAGTATTGCGCATTCCATCAAAGACCAAGCCACACTACCAACGATTACCTGAAGAGGAAGTAGTATCTCGAGAAGCTGACGAATAAAGGTTGGTGCGATGAGTATCTTGACAAATTAGCGACACAACCTACCCAAGCAACGGAAGACAACATTGAAGCCTCATTAAAGATGATGCAAATTAATGACATCTTTGTCAGGTCTGAGCACTTTCAGGCCATGGGTAGCCCTGAAAGAAATAAGCATCCCACTTTCATCAAGTAGCAACATGATGGAATGCTTGGGAATATCACTCATCACCCCCTGAACCCCATTTAGGCTTATGCAAATGAGTTCAAAATCTCAAGTAGCTCAATGAACAAGACCTCGCAAGCCGAGGATTATCCAGTTGTTATGCAGTTTCTACCTTTCAGCATAGTTGATACATTTCTTTATTCTCAATGAAGATTTAAGAAGTTATTCATAAGCCTAGCTCAATTACTGTTTACAAGAACTACCCAAACCTTCATCTAGGTAAGCTCTCCAGTGCAAGAAGGTAAATTAATTCCCTAACACCCATTTGGGTATGCTTTCCAGTGCGAGAGGGTAAGCTAATTCCCCGACACCCATCTGAGTAAGCTCTCTAGTGCGAAAGGGTAAACTAATTCCTCAAATATTCCCGGACACCCATCTAGGTAAGCTTTCCAGTGCGAGAGGATAAACTAATTTTTTGACACCCATCTAGGTGTACTCTTCAACGGAAGGGGGCAAACTGCCCATGTATTTTCGCACTACTACTCATTTTGATGTGATTAGTTAACGATTTTCATATTCAACAGATCTTTATCATGTTGTGATGTATGCCACATAGCTTAAAGGATCGAATACTCAAAAAACAGCTAAGCAGCAAATGGTCAGGGGACAACAGCCGACGACGAACTTAATAGCTTGACGCCAAGAAGCCGAAACTCACAGCCATAGTAACTCCATAGGATCGTCAGCTTTTTTTAAAGCAACGTGCCCAACCGACAGTTCTATCACTAAAAGTTTTGCAAGACGCTTTAAGCAAGTAAAGTTTTAAGAAAATCGAAGATGGAGTAAAGTGAAAAAAGTAGTTTATTAAATTTCTACCGAACTGATAAACTTATACGAAGGTCGCCAAAATCCGATACAAGCTAAATAAAGTAGACTACTCATTTAGCAGCTTGAATGACCTTGGGCTCTCCAGTAGCCATCTTGCCCTCAACAGCTACTTTGCACTCAGCTGTTTGCTCATCCAACACTTCATCTTTAGCAGCTCCTTCCTCTATCTACGACAACTAAGAAATCAAACTTAAATAGTTTCTTTCTTCTTGGCAAGAAGAACAAACATGGAACCAGCAGAAGAAGCGGGCTTTGATGCCTTTTTAACAATCAAATCCACTTTTCTAAGTGATGGACAGTGGTGATTCTTTTAGAAGCCAATCTAGACTTAACGACAACTAGATATTTGACTCTATATACAGACCCAGACGCTGGAAACAGCTTAATGTTAAGCTTTCCGAAGGCAGTTGGAGGATTTCTTCTCAACTGAAAGTCCAGTAAGCAAGCTAACGTACCAGCTCCGCGCCTCAGCGCGCAACTACCCTTGGCTCCAGCCAAGCCGTGCAGCCCAAACCATGGCCCATGCTATGACATTTCCTTGGCCCATCTTAAGCCAGCCATTGGCTCCAGCTATGCCAAGCAACCGAAGTTGTGGCCCCTGTCGACATGCCGCACCACCCTGATGGCTGCCTAGCGGTAGCACCACCCAAGAAGAAAACAAAGAAAATTAAATTTTCTTACCTTGGTGCGGCGCAGAGAAGACAAAGAAATCAAGGAAAGACGGTTCTTTGGACGGGCAAGCGAAAAATAATGCTAGGGGTGGGGGAAGAAATATCTTTAGATTTCTCTCTTTCTTGTGGGGATGAATAATTGCCTTCCAAAGTTGATTTAAAGCCATACTTAAGGTAAACTTAAATGGGCTTTAGTGGAGATTTATTTCCCTTTCCTAGAAGAATCTAATTCCAAGTCAAAGTGGGAGTCCCTTTCCTAGAAGAATCTAATTCAAAGTCAAAGTGGGAGTCTGCATCAAATTAGGAAATAAACTTATGTTTCCCTAAGCAGTTGGAGATCTCTGTGCCTACTGCCCTTTCCTGCGACTAACCCAACATGTGAGGGGGCATTTGTGGAGCCAAAAATAATCCAAAAAATCATAGAGGTGACACATGGACTTTCAAATTAAAAAGATGAGACTACTCTTGAGGCACACTAGGATTCCCATGCGCATATAATGGACAATAACGATTCAATCAAAGAAGAATCAAAGGTGATCAATATGGAATTTATTTCACATTCTTCTCATCACTACTCATCAATCCCTTATTGATGTTATTCAAAAGGTAACTCTCAAAACTTCCCAATTAAATTAAGAATAATTGCCATGTTAATTGCAAGATATTATTTTACATAATATCTTACAATTATTCACCCATTATCACCAAATATGGCTGACTAGTCTCCACGCAAAGAGTTGGCCACTCTCTTATAATTACCCATCTTGTCCTAATAAAATGCTAAGTTATTTGCTACCCACAAACTCCTAAATACATTCTTTTCAAAATTCTAACTTTGGTATCGAAGATTCTTCGGCTAAAGCCCATTCCATACATCATGGGCGCGTGAGGCTTTTGGCCTTAATCGAAAGTGTTATTATTTTGCAGGTGCATTTTCGTCAAGGCAAGAGATGGTGGAAATTTACATCCATAGATACTAAATTATTATGGTTGAACTAGTGTTTCGCTTACCACAACTTCTTCTTCTCTTAATATCACAGTTCTAAAAGTCCCTACCTAGCACCGCCTAGGCCCGACCTAGGTGATAGGTGGCTGGCCACCGCCCCGATTAATGCCTAGGTGTTTAAAAATTAAGAAAGGGCGCCTAGACCTGTTGAGGCGCCTGCCTAGACTGCCGAGGCACCTGCCTAGGCTGCCCAGACCCGCTAGACACCCGCCTAGATTGTAACTCACTTAGATAGAAAATAAATAATTTCCTTTTGCATTTTATTGTTTCCAATAAATTGTAAGAGACTTATTGAACACTTAAATAAACACATATTATATGTTTGTTCTCCATGTTTTCATTATGTTCCAATACTTCATAATATATATGTCATTCTATTTTCTAGTTTATGATGAAATTATATATATTTTAAGTATAAATAGACACTTATTTACACGAAATACAATAGATTTACTTAAATCCATCTAGTCCACCTAGCTGCCTAGGTGCTAGGCCCCAGTCTGCCGCTCGACTAGCGCCTAACGTCTTTTAGAACCTTGCTTAATATAAATAATCTCATTACATTAAAGAAAAATACACAATTGTACGAGTCACTTGGTGAGTAGAAAAGATAAATAAAAAAGACAAATAGAAAAAGTGCCTAACATTATCCAAACCTGTAAACAACTTCGATAAAGAGGTCAAAATTAGTTTTAAAGCTTGTTATACAAATGAGGGGTATTACTATTAATCCTTAATCCTTCCCCAAATAAAATGGTCCCAATAAATTTCTTAGTTACATCGCAGATGAAATAACTCTTTTACCACTACCAGTAATAACTCAACAATCAGTTAATGATTGTACTGACATGCTTGGCCAATGATACAAGTGCAACATCAACTGCATCCCCAAACCCAATATTAGTCCCATTGGGGTGAGCATACGTAAGACTTGGGATTAAATCTATGAGCTTTTCACGCATCATCATCACCTCTTTGCTCGAAACTTTCATGAGCTCCTTCTCTATTCTTCTAGCTGCTTTGCTCTTCTCATCTATGTAAACCGAGTAGGAGCTTCTATCCTCCGGTAAAAACCACGCATACTGCGTGTACGCCGAGTCGGGTGAGAAGAAAACAGGTATGCAACCCGCAAGCACCGAGTCAAACGTGGACCGCCGTGTGAACGAATCACCCGGTGCTTGCAAGCAGAACCTGGACTCCGTCATCATCCTCAGCACCTCACTTGGCTGCCTGCACTTGCTACGCCTGTCCGACGTCCCGCAATTCAAGAGATTGCAACGAGCCGACTCACCGCATTGCCTTATAAATTGGTTCCTAATTGCCGCCTTCCTTCGGGGCGCGCCAATGAAGGAAAACAAGTAGGGTCGCTTGAATCTCCTCACCTTGTTCTGCCACCTCATCATTTCCCGCCACGTGGACGGGTGAAAATAAGAAGGGTAGGGTATACCGTACTGGTTTTTCCCATTCCTCGGATGTCTCTCTATGATCAAGAACGACATGGTTTTTACAGCCGGAAAATTTAGGAGACGGCCGGCTCCATAATCGCGGTCGCCGTTCTTCCGGGTAAAATCCCGTACGATCCTCCCTAGGGCCATAAAATGGTCCTTACCATTATGCTTTTGCCACCAAGGCTGGGATTGAATAAAGTCAACGAGACTAACGTCCAGCTCATCTCGAGCCGTCAGGTTCCGTTCGCGGAACTTGTTCGAAACGTGAAGGCCGCCGTAGTAAGGAACGTAGAAGAGGGTAGCAAGTGCGGGATCCCACGTGCGACAGGGATGGTTTTCAACGCGTGTGTGGAAAATCATCTCAGCTGTGAACTGGTTGGTGGCGAACCAGCCGCCGCTGCTGTTGAAAAGTGGCTGGCCGAGTCCGGAGTTTGCCACATGGGGACACATGTCGGTATGCACGTTTAGGTTGTGGCAGTGATCAAGGAGGCCGAGGTTGAACTTTGCCGGCAAATTGTATACGTACACTGAAATGTTTTTGTCGCAAGTGGCGGCTGTAGTGAATTGTGAATTGCTTATTCTAATGTCGCCGTCGTGGCGGTGGTGGGTTTTGTTAGGGACAGGGTGCTCGTGCTGATGTTGTTGTGGTAATTCATGTTGTAGTTGTTGGATAAGATTATCAGTGTGAGCGGATGGATAACAAAAGATGAGCCCAACTGCTGATAGAAAGAAAAAGAGAAAGAGAATGAGAAAGAGGAAACCACCGCTCCTTATTAGAGAAAGAGGTCCATTAGAGAAAGAGAACGAGATGTCTTTCTTCATGTTTTCCGAGAAAGAGGTCTTTGATTTTCAGAAAACATGAAGAAACGCAAGAAACAAAGAGAAATTTCAACTTGTTTGATCTGATGCAGGTTCAGCTGGGAAATGGTTTATCCAATTGCTTCAATATTTTAATATCAAATACAGCAAAAACCTGCTATTTGCTGTTTTAATATTCTGAGATTACTTGGATTGATGCTTTATGACATCAATGTATTTGGTTCTATTGGAAAAGGATCCGATCCTTTTTCTAGGGATCCGAAGAATTCTACGATCATGATCATTAATCGTACATCGTGCGGTTAAAAATAATTTAAAATTTAAAATTTAAAATTAAATATAAATAGTACTAACGAAAACTGACTGCACGATGTACGATGAACGATTATGATAAAGGGATCCCCTGCATCCTCAGGGAAAGAAAACATTTTTCAATGTAACCGGAATACGGAGTGGTACATTATGTGTCACTATATAAATGGTGGGCAACTTAAAAAATATAATTTTTCACCACTTATATAAAAATACGTAATACCATCCGTGTTCCGGTTAATGAAAAATTTCTTATGAAAAGAATAAGACGATAATCCGTTTCCGGTTCTATTGTTGTTCAACATAGTCAGCTGAGGCCGGACGCACATTTTTAATTGTTTGCGTACACCGCCATTTTTGGGACCCTATATTGATTATGAATTTTCTGAACTTGGAAAAAGCATCCATATAGTCAATGATGGCATAAAAAGAGGAGTAGAAACCTTCGAAGTGACAAAAAATTCAACAGAAATTCATCTGGGGTTCTGAAATTCAGGTCTAAAAAGTGTAGTTCGGTACTGGTCATAGTTTTTTTTTTTTTTTTTTTGAAACTGGTCTTAGTTTATACTAGCAAAAAAGTATGCGCGATAAAAGATAGTTTAAGATGATACTATTGGTTATATACAGGTAGATTCATATTCAACTAATTGCGGATGTCTTCCCCTCCTTCGTATCCACTGGACTATTCCTGCCAAGAGAAACGAAAAATCAATTAAATAGCAAACATGAAACTAAGTAAATGATTGAAATTTTAAATGGTCAAGTTTTGTGCGAAGACACCCACAAATTTTTTTGTTGTCAAATGACTGAAATCTTTATTTGTTTCATGATCGAAAACAGAAATAAAATCCAAAGTACTTAAGAAATTATAGATTTAACAGTTTGATATTAGTCCATCAGCATCCAGAGATTATTGCTGAAAATTATGATACAAAATAAGCTAAAATAAAACAAAACACATGTTTGAAGGTTTATTAGAAAAAGATTGATATTAGAGCTTCTCATAGGAATACAAAAACGTGTCGCCCACTACTTACAACCTGGCCTGGACTTTCTGACCCTGGTGCCCGGAGCTTTCTATCAGCACCATCCGGGATGATGGAGACTTTACTCGACATCTTGACCCATGTGTTGTCCGCTAATGTAATCCCAACGTGGTCAATTGCTACAGGCTTGCAAACATCTTGGGTTAAATTTAAAAAAAATTAACCAATGTGCGGTGCACACTCATAATTATGGAAAGTTTCAAAGAACATAAACAATTTACCAACTTCCCTAACTCTTGCTTTTGAATCAAATTCCATGCTCCAAATGGAAAAGTAATTGTCAACAAAATATAACCAACTTCCCTAACTCATCCAAACAAAGAAATCAGAGCAGTTAAAATAAATGATCTTTAAGCTATTCAAATGTTATGGAGTACTTTCCACAAATAAGGATAATCAATACAAGGTTCCTCATTTATGGCCAAGAAAACAAAGAAAATGAAATGACACACTCGAAAACATGATGAGAGTTCAAATGTTATACATTAAAGCAGACAAATTCATCCCTAATGGTCATGTAATATTTAAATTCATAATTCATAACACCTACATGGCGCGTAGGCCGAGTAACTATGAGTTAACTAGGATCTTCTTGTGAATTCGGTCATGTCAATTTGCAGCCGAGTTTTATGGGGCGAGTAGAATAGATGTGGTGGTGGTGTCAAGTGCACTACTGACTTCTACACTTAAGCAACTATGGCCGAGGAAGAAACACATACCGACCTTGGGTTGTAGAAAGGTTGCCTAGTTAACTGCAAAGTTCAAGATCTTCTGCACCAGGTTCGGCTACCTTAGCTATATTCGTGAGAATATAAGTGCGTCGAACCGGTATCAAGCTAACATATACTCAAGGGAGATGATATTTTTTATGGTGAACGTGGTTTGGCCATCTGAAGGCCGAATTGCAAAATACACCTGAGAGTAACCAATCATATAACACTTCATTTTGCTGTGAAGCTAATGAAGCAACCTTTTTCGGCAAAAGAATCCAAGATTCTTCAATGGAAAAGACTATGTAACCGACTGAATGTTTCGACGAACTAAAGGTACTTCTAGAGCAGTTAGTTCTATGACTTCAGTGATGTTCCAACAAACTGAATATGTTGCCGGTTGCCAACCTAGTGATGTTCTAACGTACTGAATATTTGTTGGCCGGGAGGGGAGAGGTTTAGGATAATTAGTATTTGTTTCTTAAGGTTGTGAGAATGTTTCACATAGAAAGTATAAGGTGTTTGTATGTTGAGTTGAAGGGGCTTTCAATGTTGCAGAGCCTTCTCTATTTATAGGTGAGGCTTCCATAATAAATAAGCCTGTCGAGGCAGAGTCATTATAGGACTATGTTTACATTAGCATTTACTAGAATATTCCACTTATCTCTTTAATTCCCTTCTTAGCAAAAAAATTCATCCAGTCTTGCCCTCTTTGACTCCGAGTAGGATTTGCATTTGATCCAATTATTCAACCTATTCATTTTCATCTGATCACGTAGGCACTTTGATCGTTGGGATGGTTCATATTTATCCAAGGTTTATTATGTTTCTTGCCATTTTTTGTTTGCATAGGACTCAACCGAGCTACACCTGTACTAATCCTCTCACAATCCTATTTCCATGAGGACTTGGCCAAACTAAACCCATTTTGGGCTAAAAGCCCATTGGCGAAGGATATTTACTGGGGCGAGGATTGTGGCATTTTCAACTCCGGTCAACCCATCTCAGCCCAAACTATTATTTAGGCCCAAACAGTAGGTCCGCAAATGAGAGTACCTATTTATAGGCTGAGGACTTACATAGACTAAGTACTAACAAATTACATATTACACATTGGCTCCATGTGGACAACCACAAAATTAATAGTATTTACAACACTCCCTCTTGGATGTCCACCAACCAATGATAATTGCCCTAATAAAACCTTGCTTGGAATACCTACAGAGACAAAACCTAAGTGAAGTAGAAAAATCAGGTGCAGTGGTTCACGAGCTTTACTAGCCGAACATAATAAAACTTACGCTTGGCTAATTTTTCTAACCAGCCTAATACTTTGTTCAAGCTCATCTCTTTTCACTTATGAACTAAGCTTGAACGAGCAAAACATGATTCGAACTGTTTGAGCCAAGGCACATTCCCACGAAACCTTAAAATCCAAAGGTGGATAAGATACTGTTATCTTATCCAAAGGATGAACGACTGGAATCTTCTTTGTGTTAAACCTATTAATTATATAACAAAGTAAAGTGGCGATCCTGGTCAATCAGTATTTTCAATACTATCTTTAATCCAGCCTCGTGCGTTGTAAAGTTAAATCTTCTTGCATTCTCGATTTTGTTCAAGTTTCTATTTGCCCACTTGAGTGTTATGGTGCTTTATTTTTCTAGTTGTAGATTTGTATATGGATAAATATTTAGCACCATAAGTTTCTAGCTAGTGTCAAACCCAATTTAAGACAATCTAAGAGCAACTCCAGCGTTGGAGCCCTCCCCCCAAGCTATTCACTATTCAATCCACTTTATGAACAGTAACTGCCCTTAATGAACAGTAATAACCCTAACAATAGCCTTTGCATCTCCACCGTTACACTTCAATAGTCCTAGCAATAGGCAATAAAATATTAGTATTTTATTTATTTATAAAATAATACAAAATAATTTTAATTGTAATTTCGGATAAGATTTTTAATCGTTATCGTTGCGCCATGTGTCATTATCCGAAGTATTATTAAATAATACAAAATAATTTTATTTGTAATTTTGAATAAGATTTTTAATCGTTGTCGTTGCGCCACTTGTCATAAAATCCTAAAAGACAATTATTGGGGATGGATTTCTGATAAATTTTTTAATCGTACTCGTTATGCCACGTGTCATTATCTGAAAATACAATTATTGGTGATGGATTTCTAAAACTTTGAGACAAAGAAAGGAATGTGATTGAAAGTAGCTGAGAAAATATGAAATTGTTATGTAAGGTAGATGATAATGAGAATGTATTTATAGAAAAGTAAAAACAATTTTTTTTTAAAAAAAATTCAGATTTGTTTTTGAATTTCTTACAATTTTTTTTAAATTTTTATTCAACTAATTAATCTCTACCGTTGGATATAAAAAAATTTGAATTCCAACACTCCAGATTATGCCGCGTGTCACAACGGTAACTTTTCTTAATTTTATAATTATTTTTTCTTTTATTTTTTTATTTATAAAGAATATTAATATACACCGTTGATCTCAGATCGAACAGTGGATATTAAATAAGAATTTTTTTTTTACCGTTGAGATCGAATGGTCCAAATTAAAGATCCGTTGAGATCGAACGGATCGTGGGAAGCCACATGGCTTCCCAACGGTAACTGAAAAAGCACTTTTTTTTTTTTTTTTTTTTTTTATTTTGTATCGGCAATGCTCCCCCACGCACGAGTGGGGTGCACGCGCCTGACAGAAAAAACAATTAAAAATGGCCTGACGCCAGGCTGACATCAGCGCTGATGTCACATCCACTCGGGCTCTCGGGCTGGCAATTCTCCACAGGCCCGGAGCTCGGGCCTCCACCTGCACTCGGGCTCTCCAACGATGGAGCCGGTCCACAAGGCCTCGGGCCCCTTTTCTCTGGCCTATCCCCCGAGCACCCAGCAACGCTGGGCTTGCTCTAAGGCGATCTTTCAAGTTGTCCATAACCAATGGCAAGAGTCTAGGATCAAATATTGAAAATATGTGAGTTTGAGACCACTTATAATTTATATATTATCTATCTTTTTGGTGTCGAGAAAATTCACTTGCCAAATCAAATTAATGTCAGATATTATAAAAGACGGGTCATTAGTCCACTCTTAACCACACCGATGCTTTCTCTCAACTAGCATCTTGCGATTTGAACAAAACAGTAGAAAAAGTGGGGGTTTTATATGAAATGCCTCCTTCACGTGAGACCATCATATAGTGGGCCAAATGTGTATCAATCTTACATTGGTCGTTAAGCTCGAAAACATGGTGTTATATTAAACACAGTAACTTAGGCATGACACAAACCCACTCTTATACATGAATAAAGTTCAGAAACTCCTTTTAGTTTTTATACTTTTTGTTTTTGTGTTTGAAATATGTGGAAAGTATAAAAGGAGAGAAATGAAGAATGGTAATGGGATGGAGGAAAAGAAATAAGGAAAAATGGATGAAAACTTAAAGTGAAAGCAAAACTTGAATTAATTTTAGGTTTTTCGTTTTCTTTTTTTTTGTACCCTTATACATTTCTTTTACTATCTCCCTCTATATTCCATATTCCGTCCGCTCTTATTTATCTCACATTTCAACAATATACATTTTCAATATCTCAAACAAAAAATCATAACAAACCAAATAATTATCAAATAGGCTCGTAGCTTTCAAACCTTTTTTTATTTTTATTTTTTAAATGCAAGCAGTTACCGAACACCTTTCAACTTTAAAAAAAAAAAAAAGTTGAACTGAAATTGAAAACAGAAAACAGAATGGTACTCAAACGGTCTCTTTACAAATCATGAGTCTAGAGGTGCAAAAACAAAACATAAGTTGTAGATCAAAGTATTCCCATGTAAAAAAGGTAAGTTATGATCAATTTATTAGCAAATCCCAGAAGAACGATGCAGGGTCTGACGAAGAAATCAAAATGATCTTGCAGTGGAAGAACAAACCACATAGCATAGCACAAGCACATTCCATAATTTATATATTTGCATGTACATGTGGCAGGTCCAAAAGCACTGCAGTGTAAGCCAATCCTAGTGTTGCAAGTAGCAAGTGGCAGCAAGGATCGTTTATATGAAATCCAGCTCTTCAAGAATCTCAAGGGGCTTATAATAACTCATCATAATCTTCCACTCAATCTCTCATGATTCCCCAATACGAAGCAGATAACACTATAATTTATAATACTCCATTTCTGATCTTGCACATTGATCTTGCACACTATTTGTATTACTTTAATGAGTAAAAGCAGCTTCCTCAAAAAGCAATTCCACCTTCCTTCCAATATCCCATACACTATATATAACCCAACTTCCCTTTGCCAAAGCATCCATCAGCACTCTCTTTATCTATCTACAACTCTCAAACACATACAATGACTCCTTCAAACTTTTATTCCCTCAGCTGTGACCTGAAGATCATACAAGCAAAAAACATCGAATTCAAGACCACAGGAAACCTCTTTGTTCGATACTCTCTTTCGGCAGGAAACAACAGAAGAATTATGCTCAACACTAGAGAAATCTCCGCCAAGTCCAACCACGTTTGGAATGAGTCTGTCTCTTTGGAGTGCTCTGGAACCGAGATGCGCTCCATGGACAACACCCTACAGCAAGAAAGTGTGGTTTTCGAGCTCCGCTGGAGGAGCACTGTGCCGGTTTTTGGCAGGATTGGAGGGTCACAACTCTTGGGCAGGGCAGAGGTTCCGTGGAAGGACGTCCTTGAATCACCAAGCATGGAGTTGGACCAGTGGGTCACGGTGCTTCCAATAACTGGGCATGCTCTAGAAGGTGTCAAACCGCCTAAACTGCAAGTAGGAATCAAGATTCAAGTTCAAGCAGATCATGTGGAAATGGAGAAAAAGAGGCAAAGAAACAGGAGGTTGAAAAGATGGGATGAGTGTGGTTGTGAAAGTGGTCATGGTCACGGTTGCATTTGTTCGGATTATGAAATTTTTGCACTAGCAGCTGCGCTAGAGGGTTTTTAGGCACAAAAATAATTGGTGTGTGCGCACTAAGAGGGATTTTGGTTGGTGTAAACATTCTTTGTGGTTTTTTTGTTTTCCTATTAGTATCACACTGACCTATGTTATCTAGGACTGAATCGATTGTCGAAATTCATCTTTGTAACTGTGTATATGAATCAGACGATCCATGAGAAAAAAAAAAAAAAAAAAAAGATCCAAAAAGGCATTTGAGGAAATATATAATGCAATCGAATTGTTCCATCAATTACAAAATATTACTGGAGTCTAGGCAACTGTGGAAATATTGACTCAAACCTAGGTTGTGATCTTGTGCTTCAAAGACATTGTGCCAAAACACACAGCTTTTCCTACGGAGTGTTCTCTAAAGAACATTTTTCCTTAAACGTTTTGGCACAAGTCTTGTTCAACATATCAGTAACAGCAATGACTAAGACCTCAGACCAAGAAAAAAACAACTACTGTAACCAGGTTATGTTATTTGTTGTGCAATATTCTCTATTTATTTGTTTGGCAAATCAGTAACAAAAACGGCTGAGCCAATCCCAGTTCATAAGATTCCGATTCTAATTTTCTTTCTAAATTTATTTCTATTGGATAGAAGAAAATGAAAATATAGAAATATCACTAACCTATAGACAATGACTGCAGTATGTAGCTAGAATTCATCACTTGAGCTTCGCATGTGCCAAACCAGAAGCGCTGAAGTAGTTTCAGTTTAAAACTGCAGCATGATGGATTCTTAAACTACTTGGTCTTCAGCACTTACATACAAATCATCTGTCACATATGATTTTGAAGACCCCCATTCCACATATTTTTCTGTTCGGCCTACACCTCGACTTGATGCTTTGGAAAATGCAAGCCAATTGTCCCACTCATGGAAGGATGCACATCTCCACAGAACAGCCCAACAGATGCTTTCCGAGTATAATTTAAACCCCCCCCCCCCCCCCAAGAAACAACACATTCTGATTAATTGTGTTGCCGCCACCAAAACCGCGATCAAAATCAGTATATCTGTAAAGTAGATCCAGATGGGAGTATAGTACAATTCCAATAGATAAAAGAGGCATTACGAGACCATTTCCTGATTGAAATCCCATTAAAGCATATTGAGGGACAATAAAAAGCCTGACCTACAAGCAAAATTACTATGCTACAAGCACTTATCACTGTTTCTTAGCTTCTCTAGGAGTCCATATACCTTCCGGTGCCACAAGTCAATAACAGTCTCCAACTCCTTTAAGAGAGGCCAAGAGGTTTGTGTTATAGCATGAAAACATTGAGCCTATAATCAAACTCGCAGCAACATCTGCATCGTTCATTTATGTTTGTGGTACTTCCTTAATAATAACATTTTTTGACATTCGGCCTCTCTCAACCATATATGATCCCAAAATAAGCGTATGATATCATAATCACTGGCATAAGAAGCACCGAAAGATCTATAGATCTTGCGTGTAACCATCAACCTCCACTTGTACATTTCATCTGACATCGCTGAAACTACACTTGACTTTCCTGCTTTCAAGTAAGCTATGCAAGACTAGTGTATATTACACTGTCTCCTGATATACCTTTCTCTCGCATAAGACCGAAAACCTTTTCAGCACTATCAACCCTTTCTTGTTTACATAACCTTCTTATTAATGTCCTGTACGCTGAGACATCAGCACAAAGACCTTTCCTAGAAAACTCATCTGGAAGTCTTATAACTGCTTCATTCTCTTGGTTACAGTAACCATCTATAATCCATGTATAAGTACTAGGATAAATTCCCACATCAAGCATGGCATGGCAAATAAAATATCTTTAGCACTGTCCATCTCCAGAACCTTGCAAAATCCATTAACAAGTGCTTTATATGTAAACGCGTCCAGCTGCCAACATCCTATCCTTCACATTGACACCAGTCCTCATATCTCGTATCTTACAATAAGCATTAATCAATGTGTTACATGTGACATTGTCAAGTTCAACATTCCTTTCACTCATCTCATTCAAAAGTTTATTTACATCCCTCATCCTGCTTTCTTCGTACAACTTGCGAAGATTGACTTATAAGTAACAGCTCCCGGATACAGTTCCTTGGCCTTCATTACCTCGCACAATCTTAAAGATTCTTCCAGGTCATTCACTCTAAAATACCCATCAATTAATGTGGTGTAAGTTATATGGTTCGGAGTAGCACCTTTGATTTCACAGAAAAGTCTTACAGCCTCCCTCATCCTACCTTCTCTACAAAACGCATACATAAGAGAATTGTACGTCACCATATCAGGGGTAACTCCTGCTCTTTCCATTCTATCTCGAACAGACAAAGCTTCATAGTGCATACCCCTTTTAAAATACAGCGATATCAACGTATTGTATGTGAAAAGATCAGGAAAGGCACACTTGAATTCCATCTCACTCAGCAAACTCTCTGCCTTCTCTACACCCCCAGACTTGCAACAAGCATGAATCAACACATTGTACAAATGAACATTCCGGCGTTGATCATACTCTTGTAAACTTTCCACACCATGTTGGTCAACCTATGTTTAACCAAAGACCTCAATAAGACAGTACAAGCGTGCAAGTGGGGCTTAAACCCATGAACCCTCATGTGCCCCAAAACCTGAATCGCACCTTGGGTCAACTTAGAATTAGCATAAAAGATCACAAGCCAGCTCAAAACATGTGAATTCACATCAGGGTCGTCATGGGTCTGAGAGGACAAGAAATTCTTAAGGGCAATTTTCTCAAGCAGTTGGTGCGCAGGTTTGAAGGGGGTGTGCTTGGTGAGGATGTGAATCATAGTCCAAGAGCAATGCAAGGAGTCGTTGTAAGTGGGAAGTGATTCAACCCATTTGAAGAAAGGCCATATCCATGGAGTGAGAGTTGCAGGATTACCTGGTGAATGGTTGCGGAGCTGAGAAGAGAGCCATTGTTGGGTTTCAAGAGGTAGCTTCAATGACCCTTTACTACAACCGCACACACACTCTGAATGAATTGGGTCTCGCCAGTCAATGAAACTAAAACAGCCATCAAACTCTGACAGCTTTTAGTCGGCTTTCAATCGGTTCCTTTTTTTTATCCAAACCGAAAATCAAATTAAAATTACTATTTACTTTCGTTCGCTTTTTTCTAATTTTTTTTATTAGTTCCTGTTTATTTTTTTTTAATCGGTTCAAGTTTTTTCTTTTTATTTTTTATCAAACGATAAATTTTAATAGGTTAGAGATAAGATTCGTTATCGATAGGATTTAAATTCACACTGTCATGTAATGATTCAAATCTTCTTTTATTACTGTAGTATATGATTACTTGCTTTGAGCTTTTTTTTTTTAACTTAAAATCTTTTAACGTATGAAATTGTAATACAATAATAATAAATTTATAACATTAAAATGTTTAAAAATGTTATATGAGGTTGCAAGTGAATAGAATTAAAATGTAATTTACCTTTTTCTTTTTAATGTCATTGACATTTTTTTTGTTTATTTATTTATTATTTGCTATTTTCTATTCATCCAAAAGCCAAACGAGGAAGCGAGCCAGAGGAAGGGAGTGAGACCGAAAACAATGGAGAGAACACGACTGAGAAAGCCTCGCAGAGACACTGCCGATATGCTGACGTGGAAAGAGGTCCCACACTCCGACTCTCCGGCCACCGCCTCCTCCGCCCCCCGCTCTCATCAGGTTGCTTTACTTTCCACTTTCAACACCTACTTAGTAGTCAAATGTCAGTTTCTTCTTGTTTTCTTTCTTGCTGGTGGTGTATTAAGAAAGTTAATTAAGCTCAAGCGGTGCATTTTCAGCCGTCCGATGGAATCAGCAAGGTGCTCCATGGCGGTCAGATCACTGATGAAGAAGCTCAGAGCCTCAACAAACAGTAAGATCTCTTCTCTCAGCTCAGATCTAGCTACTAATTTAGTAATGCATGCTTCGTTACTGTAATTTTCTGCTAATTACCCATTAACCTGCTCAAACTGCTGAATCAAAGCTACAAGCATTTCTGTTTTCTGATCAGAAAAATATCAACTTTGATTGTTTTATATGCATGTGATCTTAATTTATCTCTTGTGATAAGACGATATTCTAAATTGCTCTAATCTACGAGGCCGTGGCACTGGCTTGGCCGACTAGCCTAACCCACATATGCTTGATGTGATCTTTATTTAGTATATGGTCTACAAATGCATGCAATGAAACCCAATAATTTTGTTTCTCTTTTTCAAAATTTACCCATCTTAGATCCCGCAAGAAATCACTACTTTTGAGTATATGGTTAATCACCCATATTATACTGCAAATCTAAAACCCAGACGAAATGCGGTACAGGAAGCCTTGTTCAGGCTATAAATTGAAGGAGATTACTGGAAATGGTATATTTGCAGCTGGGTCAGGCAAGGATGCTGCACCGGAATCTAATGATGCTAGTAACAAAACGGGGCTTCGTATTTATCAGCAAGCACTCAATGGAGTCAGTCAAATCTCATTCAGTGTTGATGAACATATCACGCCTAAGAAGCCTGTCACTGTTCCTGAGGTTGCCAAGCAGCGTGAATTGAGTGGGACATTGCAGTCCGACTCAGATTCAAAATCCAAGAAGAGCGTATCAAATGCCAAGTCCAAGGAACTCACTGGAAATGACATCTTTGGCCCTTCTCCTGAAGTCTTGCCTCGATCATTGGCTGCTGCTCACACCCTGCAAACTAGAGAAACCAGAGACGTGGGGGAACCTACACCCCGAAATCTGCGCACCTCTGTCAAAGTTTCAAATGTGAGTTCACTGATTCTTTTTCGTTTTTGTGAATGAATGTTTTCATTCATATTTTCATTTCGCAGCTTTAGTTATGATAATTAATTAATTAGGAAATGTAACACTAGATCACTTGGACTTCCGTAATTTTGGTTTTGAGCTGTGCAATTGAGGGTTCTCCTGTTAAGGGTCATTTGTCAAATAGTCGTCTGGCATGTTAGTGATGAGACTGTTAGTTTGGACCATACATTCC